CGCTGCGACTGTGAGTGGAGGTAGGATGTGATTAATCAACAACGGCGCAAGCTCAATCCTTTTATCCCGTTGATGGCTGGTGGTTTTCAAAGACGTGATGCCCGACGATATGTGGCGGCCGCATCATAGCGTGGGATGCAGCTCTGAAAAAAACGACATATGATTTCTAGAATAAATCATGTTTTATGGTTTTATGACCAATTTTATGGTTTGCCTCCGTGCGAGCTACGTGTTCATGTATAATGTGAGCTCAAGGTAACCTCTTCCCACTCATTTGATAAGTGCAAGAGATACCCAGTCCACACAGGGTAAATGTAGTTCTCAAGCGCAACTCTGAAAAAAAGAGCGTCAGGATAAAGGATGAAGTCTTTGCCGTTGATGAATCCTTTTTGGAGTGCGGCACGCACTCAAAGTCATAGGGGCCTATGAAAGTGACAAGGGTTATACAGTGATTTGTGGGGGCCACTGATATATAAATTGGTGCGCTCATCCTCCCATACGAGTCCGGTACCAATTTGCAGTCCCTGGGGGTAGTTGGCCGGGGTAGAGCCGATCCGAGATTTGATCCTCAGACCGAACGCGCTGTCTTATATGCACCCCACTGTATGAAAATATGAGATATCAATTTCAAACACAGTCAGCCTTGTGGCGCACATTGGATGGAGGTGTGGCAAGTGACACGTTTAGCATAGGTGCCACTTGCCACGCCCCCGTCTCATGTGCGCCATAAGGCTGACCTTGTTTGAAACTGATATCTCATACCTTCTTCTAGGCGTAGTATACATATAGCATTCATAATGGTCTATTCTTTTTTTTGTACCTGATCGCCCTAGTCTTAAATCTGCTAGAAATGGCAGTTCTTGGATTGTTAGTAGGTGCTTTCTCGTTCAGATACACCATCTACCCTCCCAGGTAGCCCTCCGTATCTATGCGGGTTACAGAACTACGCAACCCTCGTGCAACTTGTTCATTACGATTGTGTCTGTGGTGGTGGAGTGGAGTTCGGAGCATTTTCTGAGAAGTGGGAGGGTGCGTAAGCGTAGGAAATCACTGCACTGATAATTTGAGCCCCTGCTCTACTACTGCCCGTACTGCAAGGTACTATGGGGAGCTATGAGCACCACTTGCTTAATGGCGGCTTCAGGTTTTCTACCAGCTGATAACGCACGCTTTGATATCTGGGGGGGGGAAGGACAAGACAACCGTGGCGTCCTGCAGCGATGCGCAGCGAATTTCCGTATACACATCAATTTGTCGGATGGAGCAGCAAAACTCATGTAAATTCAAGCGGAGACTATACTCCACGACCGGCGATATCGATATGTCGCTTCCCTTTAGCACAATCGATGGCCAGGTAGGGGAAGGCGGTCGTTTGGCGCGATGTCATTGACCGCTTACGTGTTCTGACAGGTACAAACCTACCTGGTGACTTGTCCAAATCACTCAACTATAAGGTTTCCGTAATTTGTGGCCTAAAAAAGCCGCCACTTCTGGTTATGGTGCTCATTATCCCGACAGTAAGTTTTCTTCTAATGATCACTTAGGGATATACATTAGTTTGGAGTTATGGCGAGTTGTTTCACCTGGAAGTCGGTTTGCCTCACATGTTCTGACGCGTAGACGACAAAGAAATCGCGCCAAACGACATACACACACCCCCAGGTAGGACAGCTCGTCCATCGGGCGTGGCGCGCTTGTCACGCCCACCAACGCGGTATTCTACGGGAGAAGGGCAAGAGAATCGTAAATTGCCGCTTCGTTGCGGGTTCCTGAATTTGCATTACCCTTTCGACTGAAGCATCGGATTTCATGTAGACAAGGACATGGTAGACACTTATGTCTATTTTGGTCATACATTGTCTATTCTCGACCAATACCACCTAAAATCGTCGTCATTAGCGGGCGCGACGTCGCACGCGACGCCCACTGGCGCGGCGAATTGCGATTCTCTTGCCGATATTTTACGGTAGTCGTCCCACATACCCGGTATTTGGAGCAAGTTTCACTACAAACTCAATTTCACCATATCTCTGTCACCCTCTTGAATGTCTCTATCACACCTCCTCGGTGTATTTCTCTTGCCCTCCAAATAGGAACTGTCACAGATCCGCTGTAATTTTTTCTAGACACTCATCTTATATGTTTTTTGGTATCCCCCTTTCTACGTTTCTGAATGTTCTACATAATTTATTTTCAGAATTTATACAAGGTATATCACAATTCAGCGTCAAAGGAGACAAAAATGTTAAACTTAAGTGTGAGTTCACATATTGTAGAATTTAGAAACGATTCAGCCTTTTCTTTGTATCATATCATCACATCATTTGTAGTCGCTTTCCGCATTTACGATATTGATAGAGATGGCTTCATATCGAATGGAGAGTTGTTCCAGGTAGTTTCAATTTGCCTGTTTCAATAGCAGAGTGCTGCATTTCAGAATGTTGGGGATTCCCATCGAGGGAAGGATAGCACCTGATCATTGGAAAAACTTTTCCGAGACCCAAGAAAATTTTTTTCGACTGTTGACGGCACAGTTTGGCGACGAGGGGCATTTTGCACTTTTGCTACTTCCCATCGACGCGTCAACCCATCTAGATGAGCTTTCTATGAGTTTACAGGTTTTACCATGGTGGCTCGAGAGGACCCCCTTCTCCCTCCTCCGTCGCCCAACTGCGCACTGTTGATTTTTCTCTCGGTTATCCCATTTCGTTTTTGTATATACCCCCCCCCCACTTACTGACGGTGCCGCGAAGCTATCCTACATGGTACAACTGCTCTTCTGAACTAATTGAAAACGGGTTTGATTATACTTTTTACCCCCTCCCCCGCTTTCACTCCACGTTACTTTTTAGAAGGAAAGAAAACAGGGAACTCCTGGGTAACTGGGAAAAGAACTGAGGATGTTAGGAAAGCTTAAGATGGCAGGCAGGAGACGGCTCGCTGGGAATACCCAGCGAGGGATTGGATTGCATTTTGTCGCTGGGGGACGGCGTATTTGCGGTCGTATTCTTTTCTCGAGTTTTGCCGTTTTAGATGGGTTGTGCCCCATGCTCGACGGCAGTACTTTAGAAAAAATGAACAGCTCTTGGGGGGGGATATCAAAAATAAGTAGATGGGGAAAATTTGGAACAATGGTAGACGGGATCGGATGGGGGAAGGGGCCGTCAGAAATTTCCCTGAGAGAAGGGCCAGATATTGCTCAAATTTCCTCCAACGGCCGAACGTGCCCATGGCAGGTATGATGGGGGGGGGTGTCGTACTGGAGCCGCCGTTTCCCTCGTCACGATGCTATGCACTGTTTAGTATCAGCTTTATTAGCTGTCTACTGCTTGTTGATAATTCAATGTTTATTCAAAAATACTATTGATGGTTTCTTAAGGTTTTGAAAATGATGGTTGGTAATAATCTAAAAGATTCACAACTGCAACAAATCGTCGACAAAACTATATTATTCCACGATAAGGATGGCGACGGGCGAATATCTTTTCAGGAGTTCTGTGACGTAGGTTTTTTAAACTGACTTGTTTCATGGTAATTAATATAAAATCAGCCGCTAGTGTTGCTGCCTGTTGCTTGAAGGAGAGCATGGCACTTGCATTTGCAATTCAACTTTCCTTTTCTTTCTTTTCCTATTGCTTGATATGTAGCATAGTTCTGTGTGCTAACCGCCATGTTGTGTCCCTTGGCGCAGTTCGGCGATGAGAGGGGAGGGGCATTTTCCACTTTCGCTGTTTTAACAGTTTCATTTACAAGTCTCAATCTGGTGAAACCTGTCAACTCCTGTGAAAGTGTAGCAAGGTCGTCGAGTTTCGCAAAGTTGGCAGGTACTCTTTATAAGAGTTGACAGATGGTATCCACTAACTTTGGCTAGTAATATTTTGTGACTCCGCAAGATTTCACCGGTCTCCTCTTGATGGCACGACACATGTATGGGAAATAGAAATAGTGCAAAATGTCCCCCCCCCCCGTCGCCGAACTGCACCGTATCCCTTTTCAGTTCCCTATCCTATAAGCTTTCAAGCTTAACATGAATATAGTATTCCTTGATGCATGGCGCAGCACTCTGTCGTAGATACACCAGCTTTTACATTGGAAATTACTAGTTGTCGAATTAAAATTTCTGAAATTGACGAAGAGCTGCCCTCTTCAGAGAGTGGTTTAAATCGCAGTAGTTTGAGCACCGATCTGAATTTCTGAATTCATCATCCATTTACTTGGAATAAAGGGAGCATCATCATCTCTCTTACATCAAGAAATTATCGGCTTTCTAAAGGCCAATCGTTTCTTCTCTTCCCTTTTCACTTGACAGCTTCTCGGATCCTTGTCTCCTGAAGTTTCATAGCACTCCTCATTGGGAATTTACATTATATAGACCTATCACCGTCGTTATCACTTGAGCCAGTCAGGGTGTGTCAGCGGCGCGTGAGCATTGTCGCGACACTAGCCCCTTTTCCACGACTCGCTGAAAGCCCTAAGAAACAGTGATCGATGGAATACAATCTGGCGACAATGCCAAAACCAACGCACCGCTGGCATCTTCGAGTGACTTCAGTGATCACGACTCTATTTAATATATGCCAATACTTGTAGGTATCCCATTCACACTTACACATTTTTTTTTCAAACTTGAGGTTGAATTGACTTTTCTGGTCTGCCCCTGAAAAACAGTTGGAGGTTCCTTCAAATTTCACATATTGGATGGCACTATTTCACTAATACGACTCCAAGAGCTCGCAAAATTTCCCCTGAACTTCACTGCTGACAGTCATCCGCGTGCCTGATCACGTAATCGTTTCTGGGACTGACGCATTTGACGCTAGTTTAACTCCCGCACTTCAAATGTGAAAGCGCTGGAACCATGGATTTCTGTGTAGCAGAGGTTCTTAATCGTGAATACTATATTCATTTTCGAGGTTGGCGCAATCTTGAATTCAGCGCGGCCACCTTTTTCTTCTAATCGGTATATACGCGCCACGAGAGGTTATTGGACGTTGGAATATGAAAATCAATTCTCTGCTCCAGCACCAGTGTAGCAGACACGGTGATCGTCTTCGCTATGCTATTAGGTTGTCCGGAAAGTTCTCAGCGTTTTGGGTGTTTCACTTTAAACGATCGTAACTTTTTTAATACTCATCGGATTTAATCGAAATAGGCACCATTCGAATCAGCACACTTTTGCCAATGTGACAGCAGTCGAGAAATCCCATCAAAGAAAAACTGGGTGGTCGAGAATCCACGAAATCTACGAAGGTCTTTTTTGCCTGGTCCTAATTGATGAAGTATTTTTCAGCAAGGAAGTTCTGAAAATGTCTGAAAAGGTGATAGTCGGTTGGTGAAAGGTCTCTGAAAGTATGGGGACGTGAGGCAGCTTCAACCCCCAATTCGTTCAATTTATGGATAGTGATTTGTGAAACGTGTGGGCGGGCGTTGTCATGCAAAAGAATCGGACCCTTTCTTTTGATAAGTGTTGGCTGCAGCTGACGCAAATTCGGTACATTTCGTCGATTCCTTCACAGTAGGGTTCTGCTGTGATGGTTGGCCTGGTGATAAAGGGGGGAAGTTATAGTGGATTACACCAGCCGATGACTACCACACTGTTACCATAATTTTGGTCGTGAGGAATTCGGCTTTGAAAATTGCCTCGGTTGGTTCGTCGGCATCCAACCATCATGTTCGGAATTGTCTCTTACTCATACATTAATCACTTTTCATCATCTGATGATAATCGGTAAAAAACGGGGCCCCCACACCTGGTCAATTTGTGAGCTGTCTTCGATTGCAGATTGCCCCATTTATAGTCGAAGGAAAAAAATCGTCCGAAGTTGCTCTTTAGACATGCTTGAAAAACCTTGAAAAGAAGGGCTCATCAGCAATCGGGAAGCGGCAATTATACGTCAGATAGCGCAAAAATTCTCTTCAGGATTCACTGCTGAGACGCAAGGGAGAATGAGTTTTTAATCAGCAGTGAATGTACAATAGTAACCCAAAACTGAAGAACTTCCTACAACAATAATTGTAAACGGGAAGAGAGTCCACTCCTCCAGGCTCAGACTTGGCAGAGGCTCAATAAGTGCGTTTATCTTTGCCGCAACGTTGTCGCGTTTGAGAGTCCGCTTGTCTTTCAGCCGATAATCATACTCACTTTCCTGGGCGCCTCAAATATATGCTGGTTGAGGCTCAAGAATCGGACGATGACGCAAAGTGTGAACTCTAAAATGGCGCTTGTTGGAAAAAAACAATATCCGTAGTGCGTTTATCAGAGCACGAATAACCTGAGACAGCGCGAAAATAGACATTTTTTTTGCGTTTTTGAATGGTTAATAGTGGTATGGTTGCCATCCTTCTGAACGTTTATGCTTCTAGTCTCTCTTTTTGTTTTTTTGTACAGTCTCTAGCATTTCTGTCTCGGATGGCCACTGCTGGTACCTCTATCTTGTTTTTTATTTCCTTGTGGGCATTTCAGCGTCTGTACGAGGATCCCCTCGAATTAGAAGCGGTTTCCGGAAACGTTATTATGACGCATCCAAGAAGAGAGAATGAAAAAGAGCGGGTTGGTTTCAATTTGATTAGCGTGGTACGCTTTAGGTTGTCGAGCATACCGAAGTGCACAAGAAGATGGTACTGGAGAACATCTGAGGGACGGCTTATTCTTTCGATATAGCATATGCTGGTATGCTCGAGCCGATTTCATCCATCTTGCTGCCAGTCGTCGTCGCTCTTTGACACTTGTCTATGATACTCGTAATCTCACTGTTTGTCCTTGCTCCTTCTATATATCATCACGATCATTTTCTATTCACCCTGTATTGTTGTAAAGTGTAACTGTGACTCACCGATTTGGTTATAAGAAATTCTAGTAGGTAAGGAGCATGTAAAGTCAAGTCTTACAGCAGAAAAATACAGTTTCACAGTAGTGAAGTACGGTTTCTCAAAACGTAAAGCGTCAACGCATTCCTGCGTTACTTTTGAATTTAGCAATCTGGGGGAGGGGCGAGAGGAGGGAGAAGTGGTCCATTAGAAACAAAGAAAAAAAAATATTGGGGAAAGATACACGTCCAAACACGGATGAATCCGTTTTGCCCGTAATCACAGGCCAATTGTCTAAAGCGCTACTTAGTCGTTTCAAGCTGCGGAAGCTTGGGATGTCAGTGGGGCTGAGTTTGGCGCGGCGCCAGACCGTTTTCCACCAAATGGTCTCGCTTGACCGCTTCAACAAATGGTGGAGAAGGGGCTCGCACCGCGCCAAACTCAGTCTCTGTGCCACCCTAGGCCGTCCTGCAGCAAAGACGACTGCCCATAGATTGGCTCTATAATTATTTATTTTCTTATGTTATTATGCTGCTTCGACTCTTTCACTATAAAGATCCTCCTTGTCATTGACTCATGCTCTGGAAATGGGTGCTGGGTGTTCGCGGTGATGGTGGACATTCACTGTCCTGAACACTTATTTTGGTTGCGAGGGGGGAGCGATTGGTAGGGGGGAAGCAGACCTAGTCACCGAGTGGACGGAGCTTGGAAACGGCGTACGTCTCTTTAGCGCCACCACGTTTCCATCATTTTCCCTCACCGTATAAGAAGAGGAGTTGATGGGCATGTCAATGATGTTATCTTGATTCCGCCTAATTGGCAGTCCCAGACACTGTCTTTGTGCCTTCTTATTTTTTGGAAAGTTTTCTAATGACGTATTCCCGGGACCGAGAAGAAAGACGTGAGCTGCGTCAATCCGATGATTCTCACTTTTTCGTTTGCCGCTTAACGTTCCTCCGCAATTCATTGGTCAGCATCCAGGGCCAGCATCCTTATATGGTGAAATGGTGATGTCAGCACGACCCCTTCCCTCCGGGTTTTTCTACCGTACCCCTCCCCAATGTACTATTCATCTTTCTTGAATTCCTCCCATCTCTCTACTCAGTTCTCCAGAAGTTTTTCCACGTAAAAAAAAGTAGCCGTCATTCCTAAGTTCTTCCATCTTCCGTGTTCAGACACGGTTCCATGTTTCCTCCAAAGAAACTGGCCGATCACTTTCTGATTTCTCTCGGATTTTCATGTGCTCAAGAAGGTTTCCTTAGTTTCCTCAAAAAACTCCGGTTGAGGCGTGGAGAAAAGGGTTGTCACAAAACAACACACAGTTATCATTAATTTCGACTGTCGGGAACAGTCATTATCATGCCTGTCCGTAGCCGCACGTCATTGGCTTGTTGAGTTCAGGGCTCTAGTTCGGAGTCCGTACGCCCCCTTTTTTGTTGCGGGGGAGGGGGAAATACACAGTGAAACAGGACAAAGTCGCGAACAATATGACCGCCATTCTACCATCTTTCAGATTTCCCTCAGACTTCCTGCCACTTTCTCGCAATTTCCGAGGAAACTCCCTTACTTTTCCCAAAAATTTTTGATGTGCAGGCAGAGGGCGAGGGAGGCACACTGTCTCAGAAGCAGGAAAATCACCAAAGTTTACAACGACCACTTCCTACAAGCAAAACGTCCCTCCCAACGTGAACAAGTTACGACCCCCCCCCCCCC